TGTTCAAGGACCTGCATGTCACTGACTTCCTTTTCTAACAAGATTACAATACATCAGGTCAACATTTGAGATGTCAATGTTTTTTACTGGCAAGTTTCAAGTCAATTAAAGTCTTGTGGCATTCAAGTCCAGTCACCATTTTTTATTTCTGTAACTAAGACTTATTGATTCAGCTCTTGCAAAAAAGCTAAACTAAAGCAGAATCCAGCTATTATCATGTCCAAAGTCATCTATTTTTCACTTTCCTACCAAATGTATGTCACTTGTATTTATTTGCTACTTAGTGGGTTTTGCAGCTTCTGAAGATCGCCTTCAGATAATATGAAAGAAAACAATAGGACACCTTTAATATAACAGATTATGGGAGCTGAGTGTTTTATGATTCTGTTCTGGCTGTTCTCAGAGATGCTGTGGACAGACACGGTGCAGGCGCAGGCGGGACCAGGAACATCTCCGGCACCAGTAACTTCCATGTGTCTCTGGAGAATGAGCTGGCTGAGCTTCACCAGAAAGACGCAGCGCTGGTCTTCTCCTCCTGCTTTGTGGCAAATGACTCCACCCTCTTCACTTTGGCTAAGATGCTGCCAGGTAAAATACTGACCTCTGACCCTGACATTGTAGAGAAGTTGATTCAATCTCAGTATTTTTTAAGGGAAGTCAGCTCCACTGGTCTCATGGATGTTGTGTTCATTGTGGCGTACAGGGTGCGAGATCTACTCTGATGCAGGAAACCACGCGTCGATGATTCAGGGCATCAGGAACAGCGGAGTCAAGCGCTTCATCTTCCGCCACAACGACAGCCGACACCTGGAGGAGCTGCTGCAGCGCTCCGACCCCAAGACACCGAAAATAGTGGCATTCGAAACCGTGCACTCGATGGACGGTGAGTACTACAACAATTACATTTTCACTGATAGATCAGATTATATAGATTTCATGTCTATTGTTGAGGGTAAACATACTTAAATGTTGCCTTTATTTGCAGAAATACTTGATATCAAATGATTTGAATCAAGATTTAAAAGATGTTAAATATACTGGACAGAGTTATAGGATGGGTTTGATCGTTTCTTTAATTATTTGTACAGATCTTTAGTAATCATTGTTTACCTGCTACACAATGTTTTGACTTTCTGCTCACTGTTTTTTTTAATGTAAAAGATGTTCATAAATAAATGGTATAAAAGTAAGATTATCATTGTTTACTTTACATTTGTGGCTGTGTGGTTATGGAAATATACTGCGCACAGTAAAGCCAATATATTGTAATACTTTTAATAAAACAATGTTCCAAGATATACAATTGACAATGGGCCCATGTCCAGGTTTTAAAAACCCTTCATGAGTAAAAAATGCTAATTTCAAAGGTCCTAATTCTCTATGTGGATTATAAGTAAAGCCCAGCAGTCATTTATGATTCATAGCTAATAAAGAGAGAGAAAGATTGGGGGTTTTTCTATTTCTATAATCAATTCAGTCTACATTATTTGCCATTAATCACTGTCTCCCATGGGAGGAAGTAGTTTTCTCCTCTCAGCTCTATGTCTTGGTGTGCTATTACCCTGCTGACAGCTCCATAAAGCACAAACTGAAGTAGACTAAATGGATGACTGGAACCATAGCGAGGAGGATTTTTTAAAACACCAAAACAGAAAGGTCGTGTTAATATAAACACTCTATGATTTGTATATGTAGGAAAGGTATTCATTTTAATATTAGAACCTTACTCTCCTAACTCTGACACAGTGATGACATTTGCCAAGTGAATTTCTTACTGTTTGGTACAGTTGGATACACTATGACACTGTTTGCCCTTGGCTTTCAGGTGGTATATGTCCTCTGGAGGAGCTGTGTGATGTTGCTCATCGCTACGGAGCGCTGACGTTTGTTGATGAAGTTCACGCAGTGGGCCTGTACGGAGCCCATGGAGCTGGAGTGGGAGAGAGGGACAATGTCATGCACAAGCTTGACATTGTTTCTGGAACCTTAGGTGAGTAACATTTACATAAATAACCTTCTTGTCAATTTAATAGTAAGCCAACTGTTTTGTTTAATCTCCATTTCTGAAAAACTGTATACTATTACACCAAAAGGGCAAGGCAAACGGTTTTAAACGGTCTTAGATTAACTGCTTATTTTCTTGGCCAAACTCCCATTTACAGCTACTTGCTCTAACTGACACTGTCATGTTGCCAACATGGCAGCAATAATTATCAACAGGCATGATATTTCTCTCATGTTGGTTAAATGAGGACAAGAGAGGAGTGAGCTCTCATTAGAGAAAGCAAAGGTTTTATCAGCTGGGAGCCGGCTTTACTCCCTCTCTGGTCTTTCTGATAAAACCATCATGAGGGAGTAGGTGCTGCTGTGTGTAGCTTTATGATGACTGCAGGTTTCTAGATAGAAATCCCTATCTTGTGTGAACTTACCCTGGATTACAACACTTCACAATATAATGGTTATAGTCAACTAGACCAGGCAAGTGTTTACCTGGTAATACATAAAAAAAAACAAGCTCAAACTCAAATAACATATTACTGTTATGAATCAACACAGAAAATGTGTCTTCATTGAAAAAATAACAAATCAATTATCAATTAAATGTGTAAAAGTATATGATTTGGGACTTCAAAATGTAACAGTGAGTTAAGTTTCATTGTGCCGAGCATTATTATTTTAGCAAAAGTGGAAATAAATAAAATGCGCAATCAAGTACACATTATGCAAGATGGCCATTTTCCAATTGTTATGTTATTGTTCAGGTTATTCTATATTAATACTACTGTTATTATAAGGAAAATAATATTTGAAGTACTTTATATACTGTTAGGTATAGTTTTATCTATAACAAAGCATATTTCACATGTTTGAAAAATGACAAGGTAGCATTAGCTGTAAAAAACAAAGCATTGAGTAAAATGTGTCCCTGTGAAATGTAATAGTGTAGATAAAGTAATATAGTGGAAATACTCAAGTCAAGTTTGTTAGATTCAATATAAGGACCCTGATTCCTTCTAAAGTCCTGCCTCCTCACTCCACACGACCTCTGTCCTCTGACCCAGGCAAGGCCTTCGGCTGCGTTGGAGGCTACGTGGCCAGCAGCGCCGCCCTGGTGGACATTGTGCGCTCCTTTGCAAACGGCTTCATCTTCACCACCGCCCTGCCCCCCATGGTCCTGGCTGGAGCCCTGGAGTCTGTCCGGGTCCTGAGGAGCCCCGAGGGCCAGGTGCTGCGCCGGTCACACCAGAGGAACGTCAAACACATGAGGCAGCTGCTCATGGACAAGGGCCTTCCTGTGGTCAACTGTCCCAGCCACATCATCCCCATCCGGGTATGAAGGTTCACCGCTGCAACCTCCACCTCCACCTCACTCCACCTACTCCTATCCTGACTATTCGAGTTGTTAGAATTTGTATTTAGAGTATCTTTTGGGGAATGCAATTTATCTTAAAATCGTCACAGAGATAGGAACTGGATAACAGCATCCTGTCTGTTACATCAAAACGATACAAATATTGCACTAATAACATATTTCTTCTGTATATACCCTTCAGATTGTAGGTAGTATAATTACCTAATGTTATGATGTATTACATGCTTTTATGCACATCCCTGAATAGGTGTTTTTTTGTTTATGAAATGTCCCAGTTGGAAAGGCTGCATATGATAAATATAGAATTGAATGAGAGCTGAATACATTTAGCTGCTTTAGTTTCAGGTTCCTGGTATTCTGCTATGGCTCACTGTCACACACTTTTAATGTTACATTTGTAATACTGTAAAATCTCAAAATGTCTGCAGTGAAAAAATCCTGAAGTCTACTCCACACAGAAAGTGTGCCACTGGAATAATTAGTCTTTTTCATTCATCAGTTATATTCAAACCAAAGATCTTAAAAAGCAATTATAAGCCATTAAGATAATTACATTTGCATTGAAATCAAGGAAACTTAAATATTGTTGTGATATCATCAGTCATGACCATGCATCATTTAATGCTAATTGAATAATTAATTTATAATAAATGTTTTCTGAAATGCATTATTATATTATTAACACAGAAAGTTATTTATATTATTTCCCGTGGCACACTCTTGAACCCAGCAAGTCGATCACATACATTCTGTGTATAATAATGAAGGCTTTAACTACATGGCTCACATCACTTTTCATGATCCATTTCCTAGGTGGGCAATGCTGAGCTGAACACCAAGGTGTGCGACACCCTGCTGGAAAAACACAACATCTACGTCCAGGCCATCAACTACCCCACAGTGCCTCGTGGGGAGGAGCTGCTGCGCCTGGCTCCCTCTCCTCATCACAACCCCGCCATGATGGAGTACTTTGTGGGTGAGTGGGATCCAGAGTTGTTCTTGTAAATGTCCCAATCAAGTCAACAGGACACAAAAGCCAGTCAAAGTGATTCATGTTCATCCATTCGAGAGTGATTACCTTTTAAGATAGAGATTTAAAAGCTAAATACATTCTGGCATTTCATTTTTCATTCTAATGAGGGTTTATGTTTGATTGACAGATAAACTGTGTGAAGTGTGGCAGGAGGCGGGGCTCCTGGTCAGCAGCCCGGCCACAGCTTCCTGCACCTTCTGTGCCCGCCCGCTGCACTTTGACCTGATGAGCGAGTGGGAGAAGTCCGTCTTCGGAAATATGGAGCCACAATACATTACTGTCATGGCATAATACCAAAGAACATGTAGCATCTCAACACAAGTTACACAGCCAGCAAAAAGGTGCACTGAGAAGAGTGCTGAACTTCTGACTTTGTTCTTGTGTTTAAACCTGCTTTATATAGACTAGTATATGTTTTCCTGTATTTATGCTTTCTAAATGATGTTTGCTGTTATGTTTAATATGATTAAAGAGAATTGTGCCTTCTTTATTTCAAAAGCACAAAACCTGCACATTGGACACTTTCTTAAATATCTTATCTAGGTGTGATTGTTTGCATTAAGCAATATTTTTATTTCATTTTGCATGATTTCCTTTATATCATATAATGATCAAGACCATCATCTTTTGTTTATGTAACCACAATAATCATATTAGTGATATTTCAGACATCAAATGTATGAAGTGCCATAGTTAAATCAGTTCATAAAATACGGGATAATAAATCATTCAATAAAACGTGTGGTGTTATAATCCTCAACCATTCACATATTCCTCTCAATTTCAACATTTGCTGCAATTAAGACAATGCTGAAAACTATAACACACTATTTTGTCAATGCTCCAAAATGAAGTTAAATTACATAAAGACATAATATGTACTTATCAAGCCTGCTATCAAACTGTGTTAAATCCACTTACACATGAAGATTTCATAAGGTTTAGGCACTGACATGTCTACATTATGTGAGTTTCGGACTATAAACACTAGTTGATATTGCAGGGGCTGGCCTCTTCTCTTTTGACCCTTGCCCTCAGTCTGCGGAGCTCTGCGTTCTCACCATCCACAAGGAGCCCACTTTCGATCAGTGTCCAGGCTTTACTGAGCTGCTGCTCCCCGTAGAGTTGAAGCGCCCCCCGCAGGAAACACTCAGCCAGACGCAGCCTCCCCAGTCCAGCCTCCACACACTGAAGAGCCTGTTTCCTGTGAAGCTCCAAGGCCTGACAGAAGTCCTCCAGAGCTGCTGCCTCTCTGGAGCAGAGCACCATGCTGCGGCCCCGCCGACACAGATCCTCCGCCCTGACCCGGGGGTCATCTGAGCATCTGGCCTGGGACCCACTGTGTTTCTTGATAACTCGGTCCAGGTCGGATACGGCCCGCTCGTGTAGGCCCAGCTGAGCGAGGCAGGCGGCCCGCTGCCGGAGATACTGGAGTCTGTGATCTCCTGCTGCCTGTACGGCCACAGAGAGGAGAGAGAGGGCCCGGTCCCAACGGCCACCTGAAGACACACTGCTCGCCTCCTGAGCTGCTGCCTGTTACAATATACATACAAAACAATACCTTTATACACTTTATTTATACATAAATACTGCTAATTTATGATACCTTATCGAGATTCAGGAAATATGCTGTTGCCCTGTTTTATAAGCATTTTATTGATGTTCTCCATCATTGTAAACTACTTTGAAATATTTATTGTGATACCTTCAGAGAGAGAAACCTACATTGATGGATGTGACATGGCAGTTTTGCACGGTTTTGTATAGTTTTAGCATTTTTTAAATATATTTTAGCCAGCCCTGTGTCCAACCATAATAAGGGAAGTAAATAAGAATGATAGCGTGTGAAAAAGATCCGACAGATGAGATTAAATCTGGAAATGAGAAATTATCTTGAGAAAAGATTCGAGGAGCTTCACAGAATTAAAGGGAGACAGAAAAACAAAACCATGAAGACAGCAGGAAGCAAATCTCTTCAGTGAGTGCTACATCTAAGACTCTTGAACACAAAACAACAAGCGATTTATATTTGAACATATCATAGATTTTTTTTGTATTTTATAAATATATATTTTTTCTCTAGCAACTATCTTTCCATATATACATGCACCAAGCTGAATTCAGGATTCCTGCACGTACAGTAGGCTTACCTGTGCCATGCGTTTCCGCTGACTGAATGGGATCAGGGCCAGCAGGGGGGGAAGACTGGATTCGTGTTTCTCAGTCAGTTTGCTGAGCCGGCGAGCTGCGCTGTGGTAGTTCTGCTGCCAGGCCTCCACCACGCCCACCCGGGCCTGGGCCACTGCATCTCTTGGCTCCTGTCCAAACACCTGGCACAGATGAGTGGCTGCTGCCTTCACTTCACCTGAGCAGATGGACCAGAACAGCAGGAGGAAGGATTAGAGTCAACAAGGAGCCCAAGGTTCAATGGTCCACTACATTCAGTGACATCAAAGATCCCCCCTGGGAGTGTTAGAGGCAGAGTTTGACAAAGTTCCCGGCTCACCTTTGGCTAGGAGTATGTCCACATAGAGGAGATGCCATCTGGGCTCTCTGCAGTCCGTCCTCATCAGAGCTCCGACAATTATAAAAGCCTCTCTGAGCTGCTCTTCATGGCAGGGGACAGTGTTAGTGAGCAGGAGATCTGACAGATTGCTCCGACAGAACTGATGCAGCCAATCACAGACGAGCTTCCGTGCCTTGTCATTAAGAGACAGGATGTCTTTGATACCCATGTCAGGGTTTATCTGAAGGGCTGCCAGGATATCATGAGTGCATTCCTGAGAGGGAGAGGCAGTATTCATGTTACAGTTTATGAATGACTTATCAGCCAAAATGTAAAAATGTTTGTAAAAATATAAAACGCCATTTCATCCCCTGAAATACTGCCGTTCTTTTGTGTCCAAATTATCCTTTTATTAGTTCTGTTATATTGAGTATTGTATGCGGTAAGTATATTGTGGCAATTTTTTCCTATGGGCATGTTATGGCAGTATTATAGAAGATACTGTTATGAGCTTCCTGAAATTCTAGTTGTTTACCTTTCACTGCCATCCAGCTAATTATGTGTAAGCTCAAAATCTAGAGGCCAGGGGAAATGTTTTACTATTTTAAGTACTGTATTAAAGAACGTTTTGACTTCAGAATACCTTTTGTTGGTTCAGCATGAGATAGGTGAAGCCTCTCCCACAGAGGGCCTGAGGATGTTTAGGGTGCTCTTTCAGAATGGCACTGAAATCAAAGATGGCTGTCTTTCGCTGGCCCAGCAGTGCGTAACACCTCGCTCTCTCCAGTAAAGATTCTGCTGCCTCACCACCTGGAAACATACAATTATATGGTTGGTCTTACCATATTCACACCGTAATCATTTTACATTTTATCGACTGATCCATATTTAAAGTCGCACTAACAATAAATGAAGAAACACTGATCAAAAACACTCTTCATTAACTGCAGCCAAAAACAGAAAAAACTTTCAGTTTTGAGCCAGGCTTTCTCTAAATCTAAATGAAAGTTTAACCGACTTTTAATTATGTCAACAATCAGAAACAGAACAGTAGCAACTACATCAATATCTCATCAATCACATTCTAATCACCAGAGGCCATGATAGCGATGGAGAGATATGCCACAGCCTCCCTCATGGCGCTCTCCTCTTTAGTGCCCTCCAGGATGCGTTTGGCAACAGAGTGGCAGTGCGCCTGCAGCAGAGCCCGGTCCTTCTGTTGTGCCACAGCCAACAGGGGGCGCAAGCAGCTGGTATCGCCACATTGAATGAGCTTTTTCAGCAGCTGCAGAGATAAAGGACAGTGAAGGAATCTGTATCTCTTTCAATGAAACATTTGTAAAATAAGGAGCCCAAATGAATGCCTCTGGACCTCACTTGTTGACCCACATACCTGATTGGTGTCATAAAGAAAGCCTCTGTGAAGCTGCAGCAGGGCGAGGCGAGCCAGGATGGGTGCCCGAGGGTTGGTGGGCCCGATGGAGAGTAGTAGCCGGTAGGCCTCCTCCACCCGGCCAAGCTGGTACAAGGCATCTGCTGCCAGAATCTGAGACCCATCAGCACCGGGCTGCAGCTCCACCAGCAGTGCAGCCAGGGACTGGACACCAGCAGGAGTCCTGAAGCACAGAGCAGGCAAAAGTGCAACACTGAGAGCATGTTGGTGAGAAAACTCAAATGAGGATTTCAATTAGAAAATTAATCATAAAATGAATGAGACTAATAAACATTTTCCCCCAAAAAGGCGTATTCAGTACACTGTATGACAAACATTATACCCTGATCTGTGGTTGTCTTTCTTTGATTGTGGCTTATCCCCCTGATGGGGCTGCTGGGAGTCTTCACTGGTCCTGGACCTGGCGTTGTGCTCTGCTGCCCCCTCCAGCATGACCCGTCCCTGCTCCAGTAAAACAGTGAACAGCAGCCCCCGGTAGTTCCATGGCACCAAGCAGCGGACAGTCAGTGCTGTTTCCTGAGGGTGCAGCCCGCTGGCTGTCACATAGTCTAGAGCTGTGAGGTAGTTTGATCCCCCCATCATGCGCAGGAGCCCCCTGCCACAGAGGGCCCGCACACAGCTGGACGGGTGGGGGGCATCGTGTTCAATCACAGCCTGGAAGTCTTCTAACGCCCCCTTGTGGTCGTCTGAGAGAAGTCGTGCATATCCACGGAGAACCTGCACTGTGTTTTGATAGCTCTGCTGACCTTTGGCTGCCGCTAGCTGGCTGCAGATGGAGAGCGCCTCTTTGTGTTCCCCTCTGAGGAGAAGACAGTCGGCCAGCCGTACCCGCAGCTCCCTCCCTCCCCCGTCAGCCTCTAAGTGGCACAGGGTCCGTAACCGAGTGATGACAGGGTCCAGTAGTTCAACTCCTTCAGTGGACCGCAGGTCTGGGCGGAGGAGGACCCTCTCTCTGTACCCAGACAGGCCTCCCTCTGCCTGCTGACGGAGATGGTTACGAGCAGCCAACCCTGTGCCATTATCTGTGAATAGCTTTTGAAAATAAATCCGGGCATTGGCAGGGTGGGTCTCAAACGCCTCCCCCAGATCCCTGCAAGCCTCCGCAGTCCGTCCACCAGCTGACAAGCAGGCAGCTGCTCGACTGGTTAGGAGCCCAGCTCTTCTCTCAGGAGTGACCTGGAATGACCTTTCTGACAAGTTCTGACCATCATGATGCAAGAGAGCTGAGTAGACCTCTGCACTTTCAACAAACCTGCCACTCAAACACAAATATGCTGCTTGAAGCTCCTGCACTTCTCTGTTACCAGGTGAGATAGCCAATAACAACTCTAAAATTGTAGAAGTCTCCACATCTAGCTTCTCCTTGTCCTTTGTTGTAATTGCACATTCACTGTCAAATGTTAAAGAGGGATGTATGTGCAGTACTTGGTCTACAAAGGCCTTCACTATTTTGGGTACATGCTGAGCTTGCCTGCTTTTGACCATTGTGACAGTTTCAGATGTGTTACTCTTGTAAGCTTTGAGATAAAGCTTCAATCCCTTAACACTGTGAGGTTCCGAGAACAAGCAGGCCAGGGCACCAGTTAACATCAACACCATGCGAGAGGCATCTTTTGGGTAAGGGTCTCGCATCCCTTCAAGCAGAGCAGTGCAGCGAGCAAAAATCTCCTCACAGCCATGCCCCCCACTCTGAAGGAGAGACTCCATCTTGAAAATGGTTGCAGACAGATTGTTGGGGCAGAGTGTGGATAGAAACACAGCTGCAAGACCTTTATTAAGAGCCTCAGCGGGGGGGTTCTCCCCATGACTGTCGAGCCAACTTTCCAGAGTAGAGATCACCCCATCCAGGCCGGACTCTAGTTTCCGCATGTGGGACACGGTGGAGGCGGCGTGGGTCCTGAAGGCGGACATGTAGAGGGAGGTGGCCCTCCACAGATCTCCAGCCCTCAGGAGCCTGTCTCCATCCCCACAGAGCTTTGAGACACTGACTCCAGGACGGACCACAGCTGTCATGGTCAGGCAGCAGAGCCCCTCGATCCGTTTTGCAGCTGATCACAGTGATGACAACATTGATGTCACCTGAAAAATAAATATTCAAGTTATTTTTCCCTTTCAAGTTAGTATGTTTAGTAGCAGAGTTATCATTAACAATGGATGTGTGTTATATTCAAGAATGATGACAGTGTGAACAATACCAGGACCCTGAAACTAAAGCATTCAAAGGAAACTCAGCCATCATTCATTCTTATAATTATCTGGTTCACGCTGCAGTATGATACTGATGCAACTTCCTCTTAAGCAACAATATTATGGTCTTAAGACTCACTTAATTACTTAGTGTCAAGCATGTTAGAAAGTCTTAACCAATTTAAAAATAAGTGAACATTATTCATACTGGAATTGTGTTGAAACTATATAGGCCTATATTATATATAGCTACATAACATATATTACCCTATTCAGTGGCGGCCGGTCCATAGGGGCGCTAGGGGCGCCGCCCCACCTCTTCCCATATTGAAAAAAAAAAATAATAATAATAATTAAAATTAAAATTAAAAAAAAAAAAATGTTTAAAAAAATATATATGTTTTTATTTTTATTTTTAATGAACAAGGTAAATATTATATAATTGGTATCAGTAAAATGTATAATCTACAATAAAATCTCGTTTAAAATTGTGTTACGATGTCTAAAGTTACTGATAAGTCACATGTTTCCTGCCTGGCCTTGCCCATGCACCTTCTCTCGTCTGGGCGCTAAGAGAGGAGCCTTCAACCAGTGCAGCAGCAGCCACCAGCAGCTGACTGTTGCTATCTGTAACGTGTAAACTATGCCGCGAAAATATAATTTCAGCCAATCAGCGTCGTCAAAGATGACGGTCACCGGGCGCCAATGTCAGCGCCCAGTGCAGTCTGTGAGTAGTTTGGACAGTGACTCGTATCCGGTTGACGCAAGTAGTTGATGAGGATGGCTTCGTGTGCAGGTGGAGTCTCCGGACCTCGGTCCCCGGCTAATTCTGTTCAAGAGCTAATCTCCAATCCTTTCGAAAGGAGAAGTTTGGCAGATAAATTGTTGCTTAAAGACCTTGCACCGGACCAACCCGATTTGAATATATCGCAGCAATCTCGTGAAAAAGACAACATTTATACACGAGGCTTCACAAGTAGCTGGTACACAAGAAAGGCTTGGCTAGCTGGATGCAAACAGGTAAATGCTGTCTTTTGTTTCCCATGCTTGGATATCACTTTATATGTAGAGAGGAGGTTTCCCATGGTTGTTAGAAGTTTATTAATAAGTGGGCATTTATCACAGAAGTGATTGTTCTGTCTCCACGTTTGTTGCATTGTCTGTGATGTATTTTCCAACGGTTATAGCTCCTGTTCTGTCCCAGCAACACTACACGGTTTGCAGCTCCACCACATTTTTGGTTTATCTTCGGTGTCGCTTAAAATCTGCTTCCCATCGGACTAAAACCTCCACGTAATCTGAAGACAGATACTTGAAGTTATTTAAACCTTTTGCAAACTTTATGTTCTTTCTTGCTCTAGCCTTGCCAGTTACATTGTACATAACACATATATTATCATTATGCTAAGTGGTTGTTCGTGTTAGACGATGTAGCTTTTTCATTTCTGAGTTATTGCTATATGTAAATAAGCCTGTTTGTAAATAATCCTCAGAGAAACAAAGAAAAAACACAATTTATGACATTTTGTGCTGTGGTTATTTTTTTTTAAATTGCATTTATTCACAGTTCAGTTTGAAATGCTGTAGTGACTTGTATTGAACCACTTAAATATTTATAATTAATGCTACTGAAAAGATGCTATTAATTTTATATCTCACATGCAGTTCACTGTAAAGCTACTTGGTGAAGGTGTTGGTTCATAAAACATGAACAGTTTTAAGAAAGAAAAAAACAGACCAGTTCTGAGAACACAAATTCCTGGTAAAATAGTAGATGTTCAGGTTGATAAATAATATTTTCCACACTGAAGATTATGGAGGTATTGATCAGTCTTCTCATATTTTTAAGCCTCGATTTCTCCTTTCCCCCCCCCCCTCTAACATCACCAGAAGTCATCATTTAAGGGGTCATTTCTCGAAAAAAGTTTCCGGGGGAAAACCCCCCGGACCCCCCGGGTAGGTCACTTACGGTACGTCAAGAGCCCCACCAAAAAAAAAGACCACCGGCCGCCACTGACCCTATTACTATAGCGATTTACAGTACAAAATATGACTGGCAAATTCAAGGACATTACACTACCCTAAAGACAACAAAAACGAGTGCACTACTATTAGATTGACAAACAAGTTAGAAAAAGGTCAGAATTAATCAAATGATGCCTAGTTTCAACAGATGATTTGCATAATGAAAACCTAGCCCCCTTGTGAGGGGCGGGGATGTTTTTGTCTTTCTCTGGCGCACCTGCTTGCTGCTTTGCATTTTGTTGTAAACAGTAGCCTATACCAAAAAAACTAAACAAACTGAATTGGTAATTGTTAAACAACTTACCAATACGGTCGTTGTCAGTTCATTTTCTGTGGTTGAAGGTCCGGGCCCTATTTTTTGTAACTCAATAGCTCTTGACTCAAAGTTACCAGGGCAACACGGTGTCCGCTCAAACAACAACAGTGCAGCGAAGTTTTTGGGGTTAAGAAAACATTGTTTAGCAGGAGGAAAGACACAGAAAAAGCAATAATATGCAAACTAAGCAACTGAAATGTGCTTCTTATCGCGGTAAACTCCTCATGTCTCTGTCCTCTGTTGATGGGACGTTCCTCCACGCGTCCGGTTGCCAATGGAAACTCCTAACGCCTGTGCTCATTGGAAGAGACGCAGCTCGTTGATTCACTGCTGAAAGGCAGCGATAAAATATGCTCCTTTTCGTAAACAGAAAACGTAGACAGAAAAAGACAGTGAATGCTTATAGGAGTGCTGAAAGCTGAAAGCATGAACAAAAAAAGTCAAATCTCAGGCATTTTTACAAAGAAAAAGCTCTAGGGTAAAGTTTTCTTATTATCTAGGCCTACATAAATAGCCCGTCCATATGAATGTGATTGAAAAACATTGTAAAAACTGTTGAAGCTATTTGTCTCATGTATAGTGTAAAATATTAAGAATTGACAAGCCATACATATAATTTACATGTATATCTCCTATGAAATATATAAACCCATCAGTATTTTAAAAAAGTATTTAAAAATCGTATCACAGGTTAAAACAAGCCCACTTGCAACATATTAATGTGTATGAACTAAATGTTAATTTTACCCTTCTGTCAGAATTTCAAATGCGTTATTTGAATGTAAAAGCATACTGCAAATATTAAAATCTGTCTCTGTATGGGATCTCTGCTTTATCTACCAAGAACAATGTGGACAGCTGTTCCTGCTGCTGAAGCAGAATTTGCAATTCATGAGATTGGTCTAATCCACCTCAAGAATAAAAGCTCCTCCAACACCCTGCTGCGTTTTCTTTGTATTGGGTCCTTTTCTCAAAACTGCACACCAGCTGCCACTGTTCAAACACCACAATACCAATACTCCTACCTGGTGGCCACAACTTTTATTCATCACATCCTTCTTTTATGATAACGTTCTGGCTCTTACTATACCATGGTACAACACATTTGTACCAGGTGACTCCAGTGAGGACACAATTACTAACCCTGACAGTCTCAGTATAATAATCCACTCATTAAGCGTTGTATTTATTGTACCAAATTAAAACACAATAATTTAAAAATGTGTAAACAATGCATATTTCAAAGATAAAAGCCAAAAACCACAGACCTAGATTCATATAAAAACATTATTACATGGATTTACTGGAAATTGTATTACTGCCTGCAGTAACTGGAATGACACACATAAACTCTCAAAGTGAGATACCTTCAACCACACAACAGGAAACCATTGTTTAGATGGAATATGTGTGGTGAGGAAAAACCCAGTCTACAGCGCCCTGACACGTTTTATTTGCAGGAAACTGAAAAACTGACGTGAGCAGCGTTGTACCAATACACTTTCATTCTCAAATGAGATAAAAGGGATGTCTGGTGTGCTGCTTCAACATCAAAGATTGTTCACACAGTTTAAATACTCAAACTGAACAAAAGTCTAACCAAACAGTTGGCCTTTAAGAGCAGGGTCACGAGAAGCTGGAGATTAAGCTGTATAGATAAAAGAAGGGGATTCCCCTTTATTCATTATGTTTTCCTTAAATCTCCACCTATATTACTAGAGTTCTGCCCTAAGTTGTTAAAGGCCATGACGCGGCTTTCTAAAATAGTTTAGTTGATGTGACATGTATTTGAGGAAGCCATTTCTGCAGATTACTTTGCACTGCAACCAACCTGGAACTGATATGTACAATATCAGCTGTCAACCAAATAAAGACTCAGAAAGGCACACATTTTACACTTATCTGGAGGGCCTTTGATGATGTTCAACCATTAAATACGTAGAAAACAAAACATCTGCATTTACTCATTATGAGTCACTTTTGACGTCACTTCAGTTTCCTGGGGATGAACTATTACTCCAGTTGGTGTCCTTTTTAGGAAGCACAGTTGTCTCTTATGGTTCTTGTGTTCCCAGGTGCTGAAGCCTCATGTGTCCTGCAGTGCCCCATTAAAACCATGGTCTTTGTAACCTCTGCAGACTGGGAAACATGGCTCCAGTTAAGGTTTCCACTGCAGCTTGTCCAGGTTTTCCTGCAGTAGCTGGGCACAGCCAGATAAATCCATGTAGTGCAGGGCCGAGAAGACATCATTCAGGCAGCCAGAGGAGTGCTGGCTCCACAGCCTCAGCATCTGGTACTGCTTCTCCATGGAGCCCAGACCCAAACCAGCCTCCAGCTCCACCCGCTCCATCTGCTGATCCGCCACCGAGAGCAGACGCAAGAACTCTTTCCACCTACGCAGGGGCACCTCCTTGATGATGGCATAGAGGACGATGGCCGGCCAGTGCTCAGTTTGCTCGATTTGTTTGATAACTGGAAAGAGGATCAGAGATAATCAGAGCAGATCAAAACTCTGCTGTGGAAAAGGTCACTGCCAACTGTAAACCAAGACTCAAGCTAAGCTGAAGGTCATCAAGATATGAAAAACGGTGCGGAGGCAGAAACAAGAGATTGTCCTTGCACCCACTACATTCAATATGAAAAGGTTTTTTTTCTGCATTATTAGAGTGAAGCATTGATCAACTGCTTCAAATAAACCAAACTAATAAAGTATTTTAAAGAGTGAGCAATTAAAAGGGAGGGTGCCATTTATTTTCACCTCCCACAGATAACAAAGTGTCTGTGTGTTTAACATTTACACTGCCATAAAAGAAGCATTGGAAAATATATATGTGCTTTAATTAACCTTTTACCCTCACTACGACTTATACACGTGCGGCTGTTGACCATTTCAAAGGGTTTAAAAGATGATGTACATGGATGCAAATCATTCGTAGTTAGAGACATGCACTCACTATCTGATTTGCCATTTCCCCTAAGGTAGAACTGGTGACCCATGAGAAGAAGGGAGGGTGTCCTGTTTCCCAGTTACCGCCTCCACAATGCGGGCCACAAGTTTGATCAATGATACATCATGTGCTAAACATGCAGAAATGAAAGGACTGCTGCTTTGAGACTGAGAACACTGCAGTTGAAGATAGCACACAACATCGGTTATCAGATTTAGGGAAAGTGTCACTTGACCATAATTGGCAAAATGACAAGTTGTGCGTAAAAGAAACGAAACCTCCTTAATGTTTTCCTCTTTCTGCAAAGTAGGTGTGTGGTGACACTTGAACCCATGTTAAATAGTTGTCTTTGCAAATACTCTTACAAAACATGTACACCTAGCAAGAGATCGATATGGATGCAGAGAAAGTTTACAAATTGTGAGAATTTACCACTTGGTGACAAGAGTTGTTGTTTTTACAATACATTGCACCAGTATGAAAAAAAACTATTTCAAAGAGCCAAATGAGACAGACGTCTTCAAATTTGTTGTTTTTTGTTTGAACCAAAGGTTTGAATACCAATAATTTAGTTTACAATGTTATATAACAGAGGAAAGCAAGAAATATTTTTATTTGAGAAGTTGGAATTAGTGAATATTGGAATCATTGGAACATTAAATTACTGAAACGCTTAGCTCATTAGCAAAATAGTTGCTTATATATTAGCTTGACATTGTTTAGAGACATCATTTTGACTTTCAGTAATGACATACATGTAGCTTTGCGTAAAAGATTATCTTAGATCAAAGATCAAATTAATCTATCACACACCATTTCTCTTTTCTTCTAGCGTAGTTCCAACTCAAAAAAGCAATTTTATAAACACTCACAAAAAGTCTTGATTTGACTCTTTTTCAGGCGAATTTTACAAATGTTTCTTTACAAATGTTGAGAAAGTAGTTTCATACTCTCATGAAGAAAAATGCCACTTTGATAATATGTGTCTATTCTATTTCTCATCACAGTACTGAAACGGATCATAACTGTGTTTGCTTCCTGTGACTCTATAAACAATATTGTTAGTAGCAGTAGCAGCAGTTGTAAGATTATGAGATGACCTCTGACCTTCTTGTATAAAGGGTGAAGGGAGACTCAAGTAGAGCAGATCAATGCACTGCCAACATCTTACAGTACTTTTAATTGATTACTTTACTAAACTAAATGTTGATTGTAAAAAATAGCTGCAGCCCCTTAAGTCTGTAAAAACATGCAGTATTTTAATTCAAGTATTTTATACTCAAAGGTAAGGCAAGGCAAAGCAGATTAAGTTTATTTGAATAGGACGTTTAAAACACAAGGTAATGGTAAAGGCCCTTTTTTGTCCTACTAAAACGTTAGACCTCTAATTCTTGATATACTCTTTTGGGCATAGAAGGCTAGTTTGTCTTAATGTAGATGTTAAAATAAAGGCCTGAGAAAATGACATGTTAAAATAAAGGCCTGAGAAAATGATTACCCTACGATTTTGGTCATGGTTTGTGGTCTTTTACAGTGGCGACTAAAGGCGATAACAGACTTGTATTGTTCTACTTTGGATCCAAAGACAATTATTTATTATATTTAACATGTGCTATTTGTAAGTGGATGTCATTTAAGACCTTAGCAAGAACATTCTTTAACATGTCTGTGCTACGGTGTACCGTCAAAATCCAGATTATTAATTATTGAATAATTGATTGGGGCCGAGAAGGTCGTTTCAAAGATGTTACGTAACAGAAGAGGTCTCATCTGGGCCTGTAATTGTAATTTATTTTTAGGGGTAGCTTAATGACTGCAGTTTTAAGGACCTGTTGGCAAAAGCCTGAGAGTAGAGAAATGCTTATTTTCGGAAGATGTATTGCCATGCGTTAAAAAATATTTATTTTTAAAAGCTTGTAGGTCATGCAGCATGAGGGGGATTTCAGAAACACCCCCTGAACCAGTAAACAAACAATGATCTAAAACAACACAGTAAATTGACACCACAAGACCACAACATTCGTCACAGGCTGTGATGCTGAATCTTACCTTTGTGTTCACCGTCTGGTAGGAGAGGCCTGATGTGGGCTGGATGTTCTGGTGTGGCTGCACTCTGACTGAGAGTCATCATGGGAGTTTCCTCAGATATGTGTAATGTCTTCAAAGTACAAAGAAGAACAAATAAATTAAAATCACTCCAATTCAATTCAGTCAAACCTCCTCTTTTTAATGTGAATGTGATTCTAACATTTTTCACAGCTGATAGCTTAAGTTAAATTTGACAATAAATTGTGGTCAACATGTACCATTCTAGATCTCAATATGAACACAACATGTATGAAACGAGCACAAACCAGTGTGTGCGGGCTGCTGCCTTGATGACTGCCTCGTTCTGTTAGGAGGAAAGCAGATATTATCAGTAAGCTTCCTGCTTGTCAGTGAAGAAAGCACATTTGAAACTCGGTTATATTTTTGTGAAAAACACTTTCTGTTTAACACTGGATATACTTTCTGTGGCAATAAATGTCTTCTGAAGTTGCATTATATAAACATCATTATATTAAGTAAGGATTTCTACATGAGGTATCTTTATTTGTGTGACAACATCTGCTGCACATCTACAAATTACACATGTTTTAATACATTTTAAGTTTGTTCACTGTGTGTAAATCTTCTCAGTAGATAATTATCAAACGCCCAAAAAAACTGTATATATCTGTTCACAATACCACAAGTAAAAGCCCTCCATTCAAAATGTAAAAGTAAAAGTAATTAAAAGGACAGTGGTATAAACAGAAAAATATACAATTTTATACACAGAAAGGCACATGGATGTGTTAAATCATTATAAATTATTATATTGGATGTTCATTACAGGTGAATTGAATTGTAAGAAGCATTTTATGTGTCAACTATTTAAAAGATATTTCATTAGTTTAATATAAAACACTTAAATATTCATCTGAAAAGTTATTCTGAAAAACGTTACAATATTTTGATTAATGACCAATTAAAAAATATAATAGAATAAAACTGTGAAGTATGCCTCTGAAGCAAAGTGAAGTAGAGGTAGAAGTTGCTGGACTTTTTTACTGTACTAAATTAAACATGCTAATAAATAATCCACCAGTAGTTACCATTCAATATGGCATCTTCGACAGGGGGCACCAGGTCATTTTTCGCTCTCCAGCAGAGACATTGGAATGGATTCTTAATGAAAAGCACGAACCACAGTAAGCCCAGAAACGGCACCACAACCCCAGTGAGCAAAAGCCACTGAAATGCATTCACTGGTGAAGACACAGAGAAACACTGTTATTTCTGACATTCTGTAGTTCTTTCTAATCAACAGGACCACTTAACAAAGAGGAATCAATCAGGCTCTGTTTTACTTACTAAAATATCCAAAGCTAATAAAGTATGTTAGGGCATATGAGTATGAAACTACAAACAATAGACCAGAGTTATTTTGTCATTTCACATGTTAAAGTACCACAGATATTTAGCACTAACAGGGATTCGGTGGAACTGGGATCACATTAGGATTTGGAGTGTCATTTGAAAGTGAAGTTGTAGATGCTGTTGTGGTTGCAGTTGTAGATGCTGTTGTGGTTGCAGTTGTAGATGCAGTTGTGTTTGCAGTTGTAGATGCTGTTGTGTTTGCAGTTGTAGATGCTGTTGTGGTTGCAGTTGTAGATGCAGTTGTGTTTGCAGTTGTGGTTGCAGTTGTGGTTGCAGTTGTGGTTGTAGGTGTGTTTGCAGTTGTGGTTGCAGTTGTGGTTGCAGTTGTGGTTGCAGTTGTAGATGCAGTTGTGGTTGCAGTTGTGTTTGCAGTTGTAGATGCAGTTGTGGTTGCAGTTGTAGTTTTACATATCCTCTTGCATTTTGGTAATTGCAAACACTTCTCGCTGAAAAAAAAGAAGAGACTAAATGAAGACAACAGTGGAATCTGACAACTTATCTTATCCATACATAAAGGGATGGGTTTTATGACATCACACAATCATCTCTTTAGGGCAGGGTTGTCAAACTCAAGGCCCGCGGACCAAATCCGGCCCGTGACCTAATTTTATCTGGCCCGCAAGGGCTTGCAAAGAATATAATATACAATACAATTGCCGTAATTGTTGAATATTTGCTTTCAATTATGTGCCCTAGACTTCTGCTTTCAGATGTTTTATTTATGGAGTTATTACCAGAACTGATAAAAATCCAAGGCAGAGCCAATAATGTAATATAATACATTATTTTATATTTATTATATATAGTTATATAGTCTTAAAGTTACAACCGGCCCTTTGAGTGCAACCATAATGCTGATGGCCATAATAGCTTTTTGCATTAGTTTATTAAAAAAAAGTCTTCAAATGTAATATAGACATTTTGTTATTTTGAACACTAAGGAAACAATAGATTATCAAAATTGTTAGATATTCATCTTCCGTCAGTCTAATTTAATTTTTTGATTAGCTATTTGACAAATGTTTTGTTTGCGACTAAACAGACGTTTTTGTCAGGCTAGGTGACAGAAACCTTATGGAGGATGTGAGACACACTAACAAACTCTGGTTGCAATCTTCAAAATGAATCGTCAACAGAAATTGAAAGTATTATAGGATGATAAAAAAAAAGGCGAAAATTAACTCTAAATGTATAAATATGATAGAATGTTTAATACATAGCAACTAAGAAAAGTTAAAGATAAAGAGATAGTGATGATGATAACATATCTGAGAAACAATGTATTGAATGGCAGAAAATGTCAATGTGCGTAAAGGAGCCATTACTACAGTACACTGATTTTGTTTTCTGATTTCTGCCCTCACTTGATATTGCAGTTCTATGAGCGCTCTCAAAAATGTCACAAAAGATCAAATCTAAACATGTCTTTTCCCACAACTGTCACATTGCAAGATATCCCACCTTTGGCAGGACTTGCACTCCCTGTTGTTGTTCAGTCCTGAAAAACAGAAGATTGTGAGAGTTAAACATATATACATTTTCCTAGGAGAGTGTTGGTTTTATATTGAATACGCCAGGATATGGATCAAAAGGGCAGATGTGAATGCTAGTTTGGGGCTTCAATTCCCTTCGGTTTCACTTACCTTTGCATTGTTCACATTTGCAATCCTCGCACAGCGTATCACTAGTAAAGGTGCATGGATTAGCTTCAAACTGATAATCTGGGGAAAAATCAAAAAACAGTCTCTGTCTCAATCCACAGCATTAACACATTCATGACTAAATGGATTCAGGGTTTTTCAAAGGACAATATAAACCAGAAAACAAGATTTGGGGATTATTTAGATTATTGTTTTTAACATTGCTTAAATCAGCGGACAGTTTATTTCTTCGATCTAATTCAACTTTTTTAATAAAGAATAACTTTAAAGACAAGATGTTATTTAACCTGGAATTAAAAATAAATTTCGTTTTTTTATTCAACCCATATTTAACAAGGTGAGACCTGTTGAGATTGACGATTATTTTTCAAGGGAGACCTAGCCTGGACATCAACCACAGAAAACTCAGAAGAAATGCAATAACAAGTTGACATGTTTAAATAGATATGCAAAATGACAAGTACCTATCATCACATGCTGCACATTTCACTTATAAAAACTACAATAAACACAATATGAGTATATTATCTGCTTTACCGCTAGTTTGTTACAATCACACATATGCAATGTACACTGATAAAACTGAAACGTTGACTTTAATTAAATGTACTTATTACATATAAGAGTACTTAGTACTTATAAGAGATTTAAAATCAAGCAAAGGGAACAATATAATCAGTTTCGAGGTGTTTAAGTAAGAGAAGAAAAGCATATTTCTTTCCAGGTTCAGTCTGTGTAGTTGGAACAGACAATAAGACAAACTCTTATGATCTAATACTATGACTACTAAAATAGAAATGTCACTCAGCGTATGAATTCACAAAGTCTCTAATCTTAGATATAGCCTCAACCAGCTATGTTGAATACCTTTCCTCTACTACCACAATAGATATTACATGCTAATGTTATCATATTTTCCAGTTTCAAAGTCATTTTCATCAGAATGGTGTAGCAGAAATTATAATTAATCTCATAGTTAGAAGGAAAAATGTGGACTGCAACAAAAAGCATAACGCTTTCATTTAAATAACCAGAAAATGTCAATCAAATTCATTATCTTCGTCAAAAGCTGACACAAATATATATATCCCACAGGTGGACAGCATGTGTTTCTATGGGTCTATAATTGGGTTTGAATAAGGTACTTACATCCACAACTCTGACAACGCCTACATTCGCTTACAAAGTTGGTTATTGCTGTGTATGTGCCATAACCACACTTTTCACATCTGTACCCTACAGCTTTCCCTTCGCATGGACCAACTTTATAATATCCTGGGAAACAAAAGGGAAAAAAGAAAGGGGAAGAGTTCATATGCGATTATTCCTCTATAACTGTAAAAGACAAGGCCAAGGTCCTACAGCTCGCTTTTCACCACTTACCGGCTGGGCATATTATAAAACATGAATCTGAATGTTGGGTTTTAACCTCGGTGTAACTCTGTCCGATGAATAGGAAGATGAGTATCAGTGGGAACACCTACAAAAAAAAAAGGTTTACAGGTCTGCGTGGAAAGAAGATTCTCACAAAGGTAACTGACTTTCACGCTACTACAAGCTGCCATAAATAATTACAGCAGTAGTAGAAACATGACTCAATACAACTCATCATGTTATTGCTCGGGCATCTTTTGTGTTATTCTCATGAACCTTTTTATACATCATTCAGGTCTTCTTGTGTATATTCAAATATTTAACATATATATTTATATTTAAAAACACACTACCAAGGGATAGTAAACAGAACATTATCGCAGTCACTTTATCACTGCAACTATTTCATAGTGCAGCAGCTAAGCTTCCTACTGGTGTTCACAGACAACATCAAATCTTATTATTTAAATGCAAATGCAAAAGATTCAGCGGATTCAGTCGCATAAAGTAGTTATTGGTATTTGATGACAGTAAGCGGAATATCTACAGAGCCATATCATTCAGAAAACCATCCACATATGAGCCTTCTCATCAACAGTACAGCCATGGTGTTTTGAATCAAAGGGTAAGAAGCAACATGTGAAGTCTGAATGCTAACTTAACACTTAAACCACACAAGAGAATACTGTATATTTATCTCAGAGCAACATCACCTACAGTCACCTATGCTCTACCATGATCAGTCACCGCAGTATATACAAATGACAACACATATAACAATTTCCCTCACTTTAACCAACCTTCAATAAGCAGAATAGACTTAATGTGTGAGGTTGGTCATTTTTATGGTACTTGCATTACTGTAACTATAAATGCTGATCTATAATCCACTTATAGCAGCTAAATTATCAGGAAAATTATAAAAATAAAACTTATAATTTGGATTACTTACCAAAACAAAGTTCATGTTGGTAGAGCAGAACGTCAGGAAGTTAAACAACCAACTTTAGAGCAATGTTAGTTTCAGTCATTTAAAAAAAAAAAAAAGTCAGATGATGTCAAAATGGTCATCACCATGTGAGGACACTGCTAAATTATGCAGAAGGATGAGGCTTTCTCACTTTAAGCCATCTTTAGATTGACTCATAAGTTGAGTCAGATAAAGTTCTAAAGGAAGCCTGTGTATGTACAGTATGTGTGTGGATGTGTGTGTGCATGTGGGTCAGAGATGTCAGTTCTCTGGTGTCTTCAGAGAAGTGTTGCGAGAAACAGGAAACAATATGAGATCATGTTAACTCCCCACACACACTCAGACTGACAACTATCAGTGGCAACATCAATGGGCTCCTGATCATTTCCTATGATTCACTGCACCTCTTATTATTTCAGGAACTGGTGACAAACATGAGAATCATTTCTGTGTAAGATAAAGCGTAGGCACGGAGCATATATTGGGCACAGTAGTGAAGCTCCACTTTCCTTCTGTTCATAAGCAAGAAAGAACATTTAAGTTCAACTTTAAATCAAATGTAGACAGATTTCAGATCAATAAAGTGCTGTAAACTCAATCCCTGATCAGAGGGAATTAATTTAAAGTATATCAAATCAAACATGAAAGTTCAATTGACTGTAAAGCCTTTAAACAAACAATACAACGTGTGGATATTTTTAGGACTATGCTTCAAAAACAGCTGTGTATGGGTGCAAGTTAACAGAAAAAAATCATAGTCTTCATCTTATATATATATATATATATGTCTTAAGGCTTAAAAAATATAATGTATATGTAAGAAATAACGTGTAACAGCAGGCTAAATGAATGACTATGGAAACTTGCACACATATATGATTGGAGCCTCTTTTTCAACTGATGCCTAAAATAGTTGACAAAAATCTAGTTTTATTCAACCTTAAATAATATCTTCAAAAGAAAATCCTATTCATGTCATGGTACCAACACTGAAATTGCACTGGAACTATGTCAACATCTGGGGAAAAAATGTAGTAGTACACTTGGATTCAGCTGTATTAACATAAAAATGAATCTTATGAAACCATCCTCATAGAAGCATGACTTTGGTTATATGGAGGTTTAGACGTAACAAATGTCCAAGCTACATTAAACCTAATTATAACACTGTTATATGACTAAATTGTCAAATGAAGCAAGTAACAACACATAACAACTCTGTCTCAATCCTGTTTTGGTCAATAGTTTGTATTTAAAGTATTGTTTATTTGTTTTGTATGTAGTTCATTGTTGTAACATTTGATTAATGATACATCTGGTAATATCAAGTGAAATATCAAATCAACTTTTTCTATGGAGTCATGGCTTTGACTCAGACTGGGATACAGGTGCATTTAAGTTTTAAATACTTCTACTTTTTTTCACTAACATACATTTGAGAAACATTACATTCGTATCTTCCCTGTATCTATCTGACTGGGAGTTTTATTTATAGCAGGCCTATAATAATATAGTAAAATGTCACATATAACACATAATGATGAAGATGGGTTGACAGTATGTGATGCATTTTTGATGTGATGCATGTAACGCTCTGAAATGGGCCGTTATTTTATAAATGTTTCTTTTTTATCTTGCTACAATCAATAGTCGGTAACGTAGCTTGACTTGAGTGACGTTTTGGATACAGTACTTTTCTTTGTAATGGAGTATAGTACATTGTAGCGTTGCTATTTTAGGCTGTGCTACTTCCAGCCCTGCGGATGTGATCTGCTAAATCCGACCCAAACACACGCAGAAATAACGTTATTAAAATCATGCATGCACGCTGTCCGTTAAACGTGAACAAAGTAGGTCACCGTGTTAAAATCCACAGCAACATTAGCACAATATTCCCCTCTGTGTGTGTACTGTACGGAGCTCGCAGCAGCAGCACCCAGAAGTGAACAAAGCGACCCGGAAGCGGTGGTCCGACTGGAGGCAGGCAGAAAGAAGCTTTTATATTATAGCTGTACTCGCAAGACAATATCTGCTATCTGGACACAAGGTAATTGTGCATGTGTTTTTCGTGTATTCACTGCTGTGCATTCATCTCATAACCGATAGCATCCTAAATGCGTGCATTTTGCACACATCGCAATTGCTGTCCTTTGATTCGTCCAAAAGTTGCAGAATGTGAAAAAAGCAGCCCTAAAAGTGAAATTTGGTTAGGATGGCACAGCGTCTTTCGGGAGGAAGGGCATTGTGCGCCGGTTACATTTTGACCTTAACGCCGTGCTACGGTTGTTTTTAATCGATGTGCTGTTTGGGTCGAGCTGCATCTTGCCCGTTTCCGTGCTGTTTTTGCAGGGCATGGTTGTTGTAGGAAGTGTCAGTTTTTTTTAGGAGGTGGGGAGGCCGGGCTATTCAAACCTGCAATTCGCCGTAAACAATCATTCATGCCTTTGACATGATAAACACACCTTTGTGTCCGCCTCGCCTCGCTTATTCCCCCCAACAAACTCCTCGCGATCAGATGTTCACGCTCCTAAATTTTTGGGGTCTGCAGAATATGGCGTCCCGCCTTATAAAAATAAGGCTGCCATTTTTGTTTCTCTTTTGTCTGGAAATGTTTAAAGAAAACTGTCTGAGAATGTCTGAGTCGCACCGGGAGGGTCGAACGGCAAAAAACCCTATTTCAGTCCGAGGGCCGAGATGCTTTCAGGCAGCAGACATGTCCCAAAAGTCAAAGAATGCTAAGTTGTTTCTTTAAAACATTGCGTTTATCTTCACATTTAAAGCGACGTTCACTTATTTTTAGGATTCCCCTCTCAGACAAAAGGAATTGAGGGGCAAAATGTTCAAGCTAATCGGCTAGGCTGTGTCACACCGCTGTCTCTTCTAAGTGACTTCATATTTCTAGGTGGCATTTTGATGTTTGACCTGTGTAAACTTAAAGGTGAAAGTCTCGCACTGTAGGCCTAACTTACACACTGAGTTATGTACACACATGTATCATAGCAACTGCCCACACTGTTATAATAAGTTTATAAATGAACATAGCTATATTAGGATTTTCTTTTTAATAAATACACTATCTTTAATGTCAAAACAGTTCCTTAACATCTTTTATAATCTATTCAATTACATTTTTGTCAAAGAAGTGTAAACTTAAGGTGGACTTATTACATTGAGCACTTTTCAAAGTTTCAAGGTCCTCCTCTGGGAATAAAGTTTGATCTTCTTAACTGTTGAGGAAGACTGAGATGTCAGTATCACATCTAATTAGTGAACATTAAATTAAGACATTTATTTGTAGATTTATTTTCAAACTATACATTTTTTTATAAAATATGTTAAATTGTCTTACGTTTTCACTTATAAAGTCTTTATTTAAAGGTGGGGTAGGTAAGTTTGAGAAACCGGCTCGAGATACACTTTTTGTTATATTCCATGGAATGCTCTTAAAGGTGGGGTAGGTAAGTTTGAGAAACCGGCTCGAGATACACTTTTTGTTATATTCCATGGAATGCTCTTAACATCCCGATAGCAATGAATATCTTAAGTGCTTTGACAAAAAATCCATAAAAAAATGTCATCTGTGGAAGCCGTAGTACTGTAAAAAGTACGACCAATCATTTTAGCCGGCCCGGCTAAAATAACTGGATGGCCTACCTGCCTGTCAGCTTTCCATCTGTGCACAAACTTATCTCGTGCCCTCATTGGTCATGTGCGCGTTCGTGTGTGTTGGAGGAGGGGCTCTGTAAGGAAGTGGCAGATTTTCTCTGGTTGTGTATTTTCAAATTCTAGCGATCTCGAGCCGGTTTCTCAAACTTACCTACCCCACCTTTAATGTATTTTTGACCAAATTATTTGATTTATTTAAGTTCTTAAAGTTCACAAAACCCATAGCTTACATAACAATTACAGCTGTGTGTTACCTACATAGACACACCCACCCCTGTGACTAAAATACATTTGATTAATTTCAGGATGGCGGAGCCTCGATTTAACAACCCGTATTTCTGGCCGCCACCTCCATCCATGCCTGGCCAGGTAAGTCCATTCACATTTGTAAAAACTACAACATTTCAACCTTTAACTGCAAACTGTTTCCATGTGTGAATGTTTTATCAGCCTTTCAGTGAAACACATTCTTAAAGTAAGGATCTGTCATCGTTTGTTTAACTTGTAGATATAAAAACAATAATTGAGCATGTACTATGGGCTGCTGGTCAGTGTTTCCTAACCCCCGGATGTGTTTTTCGGGCTATGAATGACTTTCACACACGGTGGTTGTTCTATTGAGCATGACCTTGCTTTAACCCTTTCAGCTGGATAACCTGGTGCTCATTAACAAGATCAAGGAGCAACTGATGGCCGAGAAGATCAGACCCTTGCACCTGCCTCCTACCTCCAGCCCTTCCCAGCAGTCTCTGCTGCTGCAAAGCTCGTCCCTGGATGGCAGCGCTCAGCACATCATGTCACTGCAGAAGCCCCAGCAGGTGCCGGGCCACCACCCGCAGCAGCAGCAGCAGCAGCAGGGCTCCGGACAGCCGGACATCGCTCTGCATGCTCGCCCTGCCTCCAGCTCCGGACAAGGTACAGTCTTTACTCTGCTGTTATTAGGACGGTTACTTTCCAAATGTGTTAGAATAAGTAACACAAACTGGCAAGCATGAAAGTTGTCATGGTCAGATTTTCTGTCTTCTTTATGTTATTCTTGATCATACATTTTTGTTTTGAAAAAAATGATATGTTTGGGTCACGTATGGAAAAGTCCATGTAATGCTGGTTGTATCAAGACAGCATTATATCGTACATCATTTTGGAATAACTGCTGTTATGTGACTACAGTATATTGGCCCAGGTATTAAAAAATGTCAAACCATACGGCCTGTGGTTTATTATTATTTATGAAATTATTTAGCATAAGGACCTCAGATTTTGCGTTGTTGACAATCTCTATTAGACAATTATTGTTCACTTCCCATTGTGTTGTATCTGCAGACCTTTATACAGTGTTTTGATCCTGTCTGTCTATATCAAGAATTAATTTACTTTGCACCGATTAAAATGCCTTCACCTGACATCTTCCAGATGGCAATATGGACGACAAGTCAGGGGTGAAGGCCAAAGGATTGTGGGAGGACTGGCACATGAGGCAGCTCACCGAGCAACAGCTCCGGCTCAACCATCGCTCAGGTACTGCAGTCAGGTGGTCTCTGTGGTCTGTTGACAATAGGAAGTAACATTAGTATCTGCTGTCGTTCAAATCAAACAGCA